AAAATCCGTTGCCATGACTTATCGCGAGAGGCAAAAGGTTACGTTTTAGTCGCATACCATTGGTTAATGGAAACGCCGTCATTTCGCAATTTGTAGGTATGTGGGGGCGTGTTAGAACGAGCCGTTTTAGGTAGGCATGGTTGACTCTTAAATTTTATAAAATAGATCTCTTTGGATTTGAGACTTTAGTCTTTGCAACTTTACAGATCTTCTTTATGCACCAAGAGCTTGTAACACTTCAAAGAGAAAGGAAAAATTTAAATCGCATCATATGACCCCTTTAATTTCTTTTTAAAAATCTCTCTGTGATTACAACAGTAGGTGGCGACAAGCAGCTGACTAGGCTGATGATACACGGGGCAACTTTTTGAGCAATTTTGCCTGGTAACTTTTTTTGAGCAATATTTCTTGTGCACTTTTCCATTGAGAATGGGTAACAAATTTCTATCTGGATATTTTAGATCGATCGTGGGCCCTGTGTCTCACCTGGTTGCCCATTGACGGCAAAAAGTTGCCCCGTGTATCATCATATGTGACGTTTTGAAACATTCAACTGATGCCTTTAAAAAAAAATTTAAAAACACTGATTCGTTCAGAAACGAAACACAACTACTGTGTGTTGCTCGGACAAGTGACGGTTGATGATGTTCTTATAGCCTACTGTAAAAATTATTTCTGTTTTAAAAGAAATACTGTTTCAGTCCTTCTTAACATTTAATTCTGTCAATTGTGAAATTCACAAGCAATTTCTGAATCAAAAATGTTTCTACACCAAATTTTTTCAGTGTAGTTTGTTAGGAAATATTTTAATTGGCTGAGCAAAAGCAGGCTGGCAGTACCTGGCAATATTGTGTCTAAAATGTAAGTTACCCTGTATATTAATTTCTTTATTGAACTGTTGTTTATATCACACTTGCAGTGTTTACTCAGTATTCATATTTGCATTTATTGTGGTTAATTAATAGATGTATTGCTTTTACCCAGAACAGGACAGGAAGCAGGCTTGAAGGTCTCACATTGCAAACACTGACCACTGAGGAAGTCGCTGTATGAGGAACACGGATATGCCATAAGTTTACAGGTGTGATTCAGAGCGCACAGGTACAGGAAAACAGACCTCTGATGATCACACACAAAATAAGATTTCCCTGTGGAGAAGAGAAGGAATTAGATTACATTTTAACCCTGTTAACACAACCTTGTAATCAACTCAAACCCATTGTGAGGATTGCATAATTTAATTATGACAGAATCTTAATTACACAGCCAGCTTTTTGCGTTTTGGGGGTTTATCTGGAGAGCATTCTGTATGAGATATACCATTACATCAGATCTCAACTCTGACCTTTCCCAAATGTTTTATCTTAACTTACTGACCTGAGAAGATGGTCTTGGGACATCCAGGCTGATCTAATCCTCCATTGGCATAGAAATCAATATGGCCATGGGTTCCTCTAAGGCCAAAAGCTGCGACAGGAAACAGTGTTTGAGCGTGGGATTTTTAGGCTATGTTTGGCACACTATGCAATACTATTTTAGTAAAACACTGTGCACAGTGTGCAAATTTAAGTATGCATGGAATACTTGGATGACCTTCCACACACGCAAAAATGTGAAATATACAGCAAATATTCATCTTTTTTATTCTGTGATTTCAGTAGCATGTCCTTAAATTTATTATATTTACAATTCATATCTGTGTGCAGCACATCTACAAACTGGGCATCAGTTGGATCAAGGCGTTCCTATTGTGAGGATTGCATAATTTAATTATGACAGAATCTTAATTACACAGCCAGCTTTTTGCGTTTTGGGGGTTTATCTGGAGAGCATTCTGTATGAGATATACCATTACATCAGATCTCAACTCTGACCTTTCCCAAATGTTTTATCTTAACTTACTGACCTGAGAAGATGGTCTTGGGACATCCAGGCTGATCTAATCCTCCATTGGCATAGAAATCAATATGGCCATGGGTTCCTCTAAGGCCAAAAGCTGCGACAGGAAACAGTGTTTGAGCGTGGGATTTTTAGGCTATGTTTGGCACACTATGCAATACTATTTTAGTAAAACACTGTGCACAGTGTGCAAATTTAAGTATGCATGGAATACTTGGATGACCTTCCACACACGCAAAAATGTGAAATATACAGCAAATATTCATCTTTTTTATTCTGTGATTTCAGTAGCATGTCCTTAAATTTATTATATTTACAATTCATATCTGTGTGCAGCACATCTACAAACTGGGCATCAGTTGGATCAAGGCGTTCCTCAGGGGGAGCACTGGCAAACATTGGCCCTGCTGGGTC